GGCCTGTGTGGCCGACATCACTGTCCAGATCGGAGGCAGTGACTCCGGTCTTGACATCAGCCACTCTGCTCAATAGAGGAACCAGCTGGTAGAAGGATATCTTAATACAGTTCGGGACAGATCAGAGGACACTCTCATTCCAATAATCGAGAGACAGGTTGAACGAGGAAGCACGAAATAGAGCGAGGGATGGTCGACGTATTGTTCACTTAACGATTTAGGTATGAACATTTTACTGTTTTTCATCATTATGCATTTAAAAAGAGTTACTTGAACACTTGGAAAGGAGAAGGAGGTGTATACCAATCGCATGGACGGTGCATGGAAACATGCCAAGCATCATTTCAAACGCATGTCGAGGACAAAATCACGCAGTTTGAAGGACAAATTTCAGAGATAAGGTGGAGGTCATTGTTGAAGCCTGATGTATACGAGTCCTTCTTCGATTTAGTACGATCTGTATACCCATTGGACCAACCGCCCAACTATACACACAAGACGCCACTGTTTGACACATGGTCATGCATCCCAGTTATCTGAATGGGACATTCGACCAGGTAAATAACCATTTCATGTAAACAGAGCATAAAGTGGTGAAAAAAAGTAAATGTTATAAAAACAGGTTAACAAAATCGTAATTATTATATTGAACAATAAGAATTATTAGTAGTGACTTAAAAATGATATGAAATATAACAAGGAAATTAATGAATAATTTTCTTAATTTTTGTTCTGAAAGGTTTTCACTTTGACAACCAAAATAGTATCCGTGAACAACTTTGCTTCCTTCCGGAAACTACATTCCCCACTTGTCAGTTACAAATTTTCGCAAGCCAACTGGATTTTTCGATGCTTTTAATATGCAACATGGATAGTTTATATCATCTGCATTTACAGCAAATAGTGTATCTGTCGAAATCAATTCGAGAATAACTAAATCACCCGTCTCATCAGTCTTGTTTTCATAATTTTCAAAGTGTTTGTTTTTTTTCTAAATTATCTTGGGGATGAGAGTTTTCAAGATAACGTTCCTCTCACATTTGACAGATAAGTGCCGTGTTGTTTGTCTTTTCCATTACCCCATTAAAGCTTTGAAAAAACGAAGATGCCAGTGCTGTCATAAAGCTTTGACTTTAGTACGTTGTTTTTTTTTTCTAAAATAACACTTTAATAAAAATTGTGCTTAGAATCTTTATGAATTCAAACTTAAACAGTCTTCTTACCTTATATTTTTTTCAATGCTTGATTTCAACATTTAAAGAAAAATCTAAGTCATTATGAATCCCGCCCCAGGCATTTAAATGTTGTGAGTTTGGCGTCAATTCTGTTTGAAGTTTGAACCTTTAGAGCGATGCTTTTTCCAAGGTACAATTGTGGTTGTTAACTTTATGTTTCTTTGTTTAATTTCTTAGCAGACCTTATAGATGGAGCAGCTATTCGACCCTTTCCTGAAGTTAATTTTGGATCTTCTGACTCTAATTGTGTAATATCTCCGGTGACTGTGAAAGATATATGGAACTTGTTGGTGTGAATACCAGTTGGCATTAACATTTGACCTGAATTTTTCGGCTCTGTGTCATAATATGTCAGGTTGTACTTGCGTGCCAATCTAGTTGATAGGCTTTCCTGCAGGGTATTGCTTAATTTCTGATTAGAAAAATGCATCCTTGGCAAAATCACAACTTTCGAATTTCCCATAGTGGTCTTTAGGTTTTATTGTCTTGGAATTCTCTTTTTCGAGTTTAAAAATCGCATTTTCTTCTGCAGCTTCTTTTGTTATGTGTATAATATTCATTCTTACCCTGTCATACATGTTGTATGAAAGACCAGAAGCCAGAAAATCAGGTTCTCAATTGTTTTTTTAGATGTTGACTATTTTTTTCTGCACTCTTTCTCATTTGAGCAGGGAAGACAATTCCTTTGGATATTATCACCTTAGTTGGAGTTGAACGAAATCTCAACCACATTTTTTATGACTTTAATGGCTTTGCTCTGTGAATTTTGACTCTGATTTTTGAAATCGTCCTAATATCATTGTTGTAGCTTAATTCTAACATGTCTTAGTTATCTCTCTCTGCTGCGTACTTGCTGAGGAATGGAATGCAGAAAAGCCTGAATGAACACAGGGATGACAGTTACTCAGCTCATGAAACTTTTTCCTCATTTCCAGCAAGATTTTTCCATGTTGCAAAATAAAAAAAACGTACGTACATGGCGAAGGTTTAACGTTCTTTGTTTTTATTGTGATTTCTGAAGAATATCTTGTTTGTGACCAAGACCTGTACTTTATGTAAATTTAATATATGTTTGCGTTTGCAATACGGATCTTTTGAAGTTAATGATATATTATTTTCAAATCTCTGCTGGTGAGACAAGTTGGTTATTATACGCCCGTCTTAAGACGGGACGTATTATGTTATAGGCTTCATGTCCGTCCGTCCGTCTGTCCATTCGTGTCCGGCTCATAACTTGAATACTTTTAGACCTAGGATTATCAAACTTTGACAGTTGATACTTCTTGGGTAGACGGTGTGTCGCGCACAAAAAGTAGGTCGCTGTGACCTTTAATAAAGATGCTATGGCCAAATATGGAAAAATCCCGTCCGGCTCATAACTAGAAAACTATTAGACCTAGAGCTTTCAAACTCGGCAAAATTATACATCTAAGGTAGAAGGTGTGTTGCGGCCAATTTCAAGGTCACTGTGACCTTAAATTTAAGTGAATTTTTTTAAAAAACTAAGTCGTTAAAATTTTTAATTTCATAATCCTAAAAAATGTAAAAATATAGTTGTATCCTTATTCAAAAATGTTAAATCAAGTAAAAACTTATTTTTTCATTATATACTTTACAGCAATCTGTAACAAATGTTAGTGTTTTGAGAGGAATTCAGTTTGTCCCATGGGCATAATTATCAAACACTGGACAAGAAGAATTTTGATAGCAGAAATTCGCATGTCAAATTAGAGAGAATTAATGAGTTTATTGTCAGGAGCGAACTGGTAGTGCAGATCTCTTATAATGCAGCTTTTATTTTTATCTTTAATCTCTTGGGAGTTTGGCAAAAAGAAATGGCCTCATAAAGTAAGTTAATTAAGAATTCTTTATGGCTAGTTCAGAAAAAGATCTTTCAATTGGAGTAATGTTATTGAAACAAATTGATGCTTTAAAATACAGTGTATAATAAAAACTAAATTAATATTGCATAATATAATTAAAACTAAGCCTTATTAAAAAATGTTAAATTAAGTAAAAACTTATTTTTATCATCATTATAATATACTTTTACAAAAACTGTAAAAAGCAAACTGTTGCAAATGTTAATGTTTTGAGAGGAATTCAGTTTGTCCCATGGGCATAATTATCAAGCACTGGTTAAGAAAAATTTTGATAGCAGAATTTGCATGTCAAATTAGAAAGAAATTAATGAGTTTATTGTCAGGAGTTAACTAGGGCTTGGCAATAATATCGATATTTCAATATATTGCAATACAATGACAAAAAATATCATATCGCAATACGATTTTGAAATATCGATATATTGGCAATATGTTTAGATTAAGGAATTTTGTCATTAAAATGATTAAACTTGTGATAGTTTGTTATTAAGCCAAACAGTAAGACAGAAGTTGTTTTGTGGAAGCATTTAAGAGCATAACTTAAATTAAATCAACAAGATTTTTTTCTGTGTTGGTCACTAATCATAGTTATGTACATTTTGCGTGTAAATTAAGGTAAATATAGTAAGAAAATACCATTTTTATTACATTTTAAATATTGCAATACATATCGCAATACAATTTAAAATATCGCAATACGAAATCTCGGGCCAAACCCAGCCCTAGAGTTTACTGGTTGTCTAAGATCATCTCTGTTAATTCAGCTGTTATCTCTTGGGAGTTGGGCAAAAAGAAATGACCTAATAGTTGTTTGTGTTAATTAAGAGTTCTTGATGGCAATAGCCCAGATAAAGATCTTTCAATTAGTGTAATGTAATTAAAACAAATTGATGTTTTAGTGTATGATTAAAACTAAATTAGTATAGTATAATATAATTAAAACTAATTATACATGTGTTCACTGAAAAAAAAAAATTACATTTAAATTTTTATATATTTGCAACAAATTGCAGTCATGTCTCACTTACAATTTTAAAGTCTAAAGAATAATGTATTTTTGATTTTTTTTGTTAGACTGTAGCATTTTCATTATTTCAGAAAATTATGCAATTAACAATTTAAAGCTGCAGATGGATATTTGTTAAGTTCTAACACAGCAAGTTTAGAATTATATGATGTATTATTTGTTATAATTAATTCCTACACTGTAAGTCTCTTAGAGATGTATATATGTACAATATTTTAAACATTATAAAAAATTGAAATTAGATCATTGAAATCTGTGTCAATCTGTTAATCAAGGTTATCTGATTTTTTTGCACCTTTACCAATTTATGATTATTGAACAATATATTTGACGGGCGTATCATGCTGTGGCGGGGCACTTTATATATTTTTGTTGTAGGGCAATCTTTTTTATCACCATTTTAAAACCAGTTTATATAATTTTTGTTCTTGGGTGTTCTGGCTTGGAACACTTTTGCAAAATTGCAGTAATTTGTTAAAATTATATACAATTTTCATTTAATAATAAAACATTAATTTTTTTATATTAAGGGTGCCTTTTTGAAATTTGCGAATGTGTGGACCTAGGGTCAGGGATTTATGTCACAGTGTTAGGGACACTACTGGTTAGTTGGAATGCATTTTTGTTCCCCCTACCCTGCATATGGGTATTCAGTAACCAAGCTAAGCAACTGCTAAGTGTATTGATATGATGATCAATGGTGCCTCTTTCAAAATTGTGAATGTCATCTGGTTTAAAACATGAATCAAATTCAATAACTTTAGACTTTAAATTCAAATAAAACAGAACTTGACCTAGATATTTATGTGATATACATGTATATCTGTATACCAAATTTTATTTCAGTATGTGCAACAGTTGTGAAGAAAATGAATGGAAACTTAAGTGGACCAACAGACCGACCGACAGACAGCAGCAAAGCAATATGCCCTCCCTTCTTAAAGGGGGGCATAAATATTAATTAACTTCAAATCTGTGTCCATGCTCCTTTAAAACCTGACAGTAAAACTTTTTCAAATTTCATTTGTAAAATGTTCTAGATCAAAAAATGGATCCCGCTCTTTAATTTTAAGCATAAGGTGGTGTTTCTGAAGGTAAACCAACTGCTGTTGATCTCTGATCAGCTTCCTTCTCTCTCTGATGTTCTCCAGCTCTTTTCTGAGAAGCATTTCAGAAGTTACTTTTGGTGGCGATGACGTTCTTGTATCTCTAACTGGTCTTGTGGGCTGAGTAGATGATGCGGCACACATGGGCTGAGTAGATGAAGCACTACACATGGGCTGAATAGATGATGCAGTACACATGGGCTGAGTAGATGATGCAGTACACATGGGCTGAATAGATGATGTGGTACACATGTGCTGATTAGATGATGTGGTACACATGGGCTGAATAGATGATGTGGTACACATGGGCTGAATGCAGTACACATGGGCTGAGTAGAGTCTACTGGCAATAAACATAGGAGACTGTTTATACCTTGAAAGGGTTCTGAAATAATAATTAAAAAATGCTTATACATGTATTGAACGTCACCATTCTGTAATTTAAACTAATCTACTATTTTCTGTTCACCAAGATCACATTAATTTTGAATGAAGCCTCTCTAATTCTCGGTTTAAATTGTAAACTTTTGACATTTGTCCATGGGTCATGTCTGTTCATTGCTTTAACTTCTGTTAAAGTAACTACTGTTTTTATATTTCTATAAACCATTGCACCAATTGTAGTCAGTCAAAACTGGCTTTCAATTTACAGGTACATTAACAGTGCAGGAAATAGAGAGGTTTATATAGTTACATGTTTTAAGTCGAACTTGTACGGGTGATGTCATCAATTGTTGTATTCTTCGACATCATGACGTCAAATCTGATGTGTAGCTTCAAGTTTAGAACATGATTCAGTTGACTGATATTTTATATGCAATAAAACAAGAACACTTATAATCTAAAATTCCCCAATGAATGATGATTCCTTGATTCATTCAAGGTATTTGTATTTTTATGAATGAAAAGTTAAACTAATACCAATTAAGCATCATGATTATTTTGTATGTAGGATTCATTTGAAGAAGACCCCGCCAATGCACCAAATAAAATTCTTGACGGTGATTTTTTCCCTTTAATAATATTACTTTTAATTAAAACCTAATTTTAACACCTCTATATTCTTTAATTTTTTTTCAAATGAAATATTTTTTAATATTAAAACAACACCCACAGGCACTAGTGATTTACTGTACGCTCCAATCACGAAATTTGCATACGTATAACTAAATAATATTTTTGAAGTTAATTGACATCAAATATACCATGTTCGTCAAAGTTTCGCATACACATTGTTACGTCACTTGTAACTAAACCTCTCTAATAATAATCTATTGTTAACGTATACATGATATTACCAGCGGTGTCGAAGCCACCAGAGAGGCCACACATACTTGGCCGCCCTTCAAAGGTGTCCAGAACCAACTGCTCACTGGCACTTGGGGATGGTGGTCTTTTCCCCCCTCCTGTCTTTGGTCTTATCGCAGCACTTCTTTTCTCTTTGGCTACAATATAATTGACTCTGTATCACATCTTTGTACATAATTCTACACACAGATATAGACCACTTTACTATTTTAATCTTTATTGATTTAAGTATTGATTTATTGATTTAAGTACATGTACAGTGTAGGTGCAAAACATGACTTTTCAAATATATTTGATTTCTCAAATGAATTTATGTTCTCTCACTAAAATTAAAAAATTTCAGCATATTTAAAATTCATAAAAGAGCAGAATTTGTTTGTAAAACACAATGTATGGCAAGGGTTGAAGCAATCTAATTAAAATTAGATGTTAGATCCGCTCGTATACTTGCTACACTTAGTGTATGTTATCTATAATTTTAATTAGATTGGGGTTGAAGTTTGCAAATGAAAGTCATCTATTGTAGTAGCTTCTGTTCAATGTGAGAATGACTTTTGATTTTTGATTATGACCAAATTACACTTTTACAGTGTTCAACTTTTGTGACATGAAAATATTTGAACCTTTTTGCGTATTTTATCGTTTTGCCCTCATTCCTCTTAAAGTGTTTTGAATAGTGTAGCAAGTTCCCCAACACTTTATTAACAAAATAGGTTAGGTAAAGAATGTAAATAATTTCAATGTAAACTTTGAAATTCATGCTTCATAAATAATTAATGTTTTTTTTTCCTGTACCAGTTAACACTTATCATGAAAATAATTTTATTTGTACAATGTGCTACCTGACTGACTGTCTAGAGCTATATATACATACAAGTAAATTTAAACATTAATTATATGTAAAAATATATGTGAATCAAAAAACTTGTCCTTGTAATTACAGATCAATGTAAAATAAACGCCCCCATTGCCAGAACTGATTGAATCAGAATCAGAAATAAAATTTTATTTAGAATTTGATTTTTACAAACATAAAAGCTCTGTAGAGCTTTTGACCAATAGAGCTTGTTAAATGTAATTTTTCATCAAAATAAGTGTCGTATTCTGTATTCATAAAACCCTGTTTAAGAAATCAGAGATGCATTAGCACATATCATACCTTTCTGTTTTATATTCTGATATTTTTTCTTTATTTCCATGATGTTCCTCCTGGAAGATGAAGGATTGCCACTGAAAAATAAAAATATATTATTCAAACATGTACTTGAATATTTAATATGAAAATGTACACTTTTATGTTAAGTAATTAAAATGGATGGTAATAAACCTATTAAGATGAATAAATTGTTCACTTTGATAACCCAAACCACAGGAGTCGGCAGTTTTATCAATAAACCAATGTAAACTTACCTATGAGCTTCGCGAGCGTAGCGAGCGAAGCTCATCGGTTAGTTTACAATGGTTTATTGATAAAACTGCCGACTCCTGTGCCCAAACTATCATGTCTCACCATATGAAATATATTAGGCCCCTATATTATATCTACATGCACTTGCACATTTCTTCAACAGAAAGAGTCGCTGTACGTAATCCCTCAATACTTTAAAAATTTGACAAACATTTACTGCATATCTAAGTTGATTTCGGAAGTAAAAGGAAATTATAAATAGGTTTACTCACGCATTCACAAGATCAGTAACCTCTTGCCAGGCTTTGGTCTTGTCGACTACGGTCCTGCCTGGACCCCCCAGTTTCCCAAACAAAAGCTGTTCCCGCTTCTGCACTTCCTCTACAAGAACAACTTCATCTCGAGGAGCCCAGTTGCTCTTTCTGGCACGTTTACAACTTGACTCACTTTCTTCTTCTCTTCCTTCCGCCATCGTCGCAGGTTGTTGTCAATGTAAGCAGACGATAAAGTTTCGTACCTTTACGCATTGAAGAGTTCCTCGTAGTCGCGGATCTAAGTTTCGTACGAAGTGGTGTGGTGATTTCCCTTCAAACGTGGTACACACTACACAGCGTATTTTTTGTTTATGAAAAGATATTTATTTATCTCAGACTAATATATAAGTGGTTTTTTTTACCTTCATGCTGAAGAGTTCCTCGTTACTATGACAAATTGTAAGATTTTTGCTAAGACAAATCTTATCTAAGTTTTTGCTAAGATCGTTTTGTGATCCACTTAAGTCTAAATCTTAAAATTAAGACAAAATTCTGACTTAAATTTAAGACAGTTTCATGATCCCGGAGCCAGGGCTATGTATTATTTAATGCCTTTAATTACTATACTTGCACTGCGTATATGTGAAAATGTGGTGTGTAAGACTTTGTGTGAATGAGGTTGTTGCTATTTTTAGACACTAGACGGACAGTCACATGACTTTATCCTATTCACCAAATTCCCGCTTTCATGCACTAACATCGGGCACTCTGAGCCTAGCCATTGAATTGGTTAGATGTGTACTCTACTCTATAGTCAATAACAGATAGTAATATTTGTGAATTCCTGTGTGTGTCCCGGTAAGAAATCTATTCTAAAGTAAAGTCTATTATGTTTTAATTATCTGTCTAAATGTCTGTCTATGTGTCGTCTATCTGTTGTGTGTAATTGTAATATTTCAGGTTTTTGACGTCTTATTTCAACATTAATAAATGTAATATTGAACCTGAACCAGATTGTTATTTCTGATGTTCTACCACTGGCTACATGAATATATTATGTATCTCGTAATTTATAAAGGGAAAAAAATATTCTGAAAAACTTTTAATTCTGAATAACTACTCCCACCCCAATCCCCATATACCAACAGTTAAACTTATATGTCTAGAGCAGCCCGGTCTTCTGGGCTGCAATGACTCTTAATCTAAAATAAGTGTGAAGTAAGTTCTGAAATTGTAATTGTCAATGGAGTTTGTTTGAATTCTTTTTTATTTATGGCAGTAAGTTTGTTTACTGAATTATTTCATATTTAATTTATTTACAGTTTAAAAGATAACAAATAACCAATTATTACAAGTAGAACATTTGCCTCTCTTGTAGGAACCATTATGCCACGAAGGTGTGAAGTTCAACTAGTTATTCGAATAAATTTAGTACGATCTGATAAGTTGCATACATCTGGTTTAAGGCAACTCGTACGTAATCTAACTCGTGAAACTTTCTTGGTGAAATGGACTTCTACTTTGTACCATCGATCTCTCTTCTTGACTAGGCTTCGAAATTCTTTAGTTAACCATGGGCATCCATCTTTACTACGTGTGTTTTTCTTGATTGACTCTTCCAGTTGGCTTTGGAAGTAAGTATACATAGATTCTGCAGTTTCTCCAGTTCTATTTATTTCAATTATTTTTTACAGATATCTGGGTGACATCCTCTCTTATGTTTCCCACTTTGCGTTTTTGTAGAGTGGTATACGTCTTGGCTTTTGTTAGGTCACCTGAGTAAACTCAGGTGACCTATTGCTATCTGTTTTCGTCCGTCGTCGTGCGTCGTGCGTCGTTCGTCGTGCGTTAACATTTGAACATTTTCAGCTTCTTCTCTGCAACCACTGAACCAATTTCAACCAAATTTGGCACAAAGCATCTATGGGTGAAGGGGAACAAAAATTGTGAATTTCATGATCCCTGCCCCCCTGATGCCTGAGGGGTGGGGCCAAAACCACTAAAATTAATGCAATCTTTAAAAATCTTCTTCTTTACCCCTGGACATCAAGCAGTCAAACTGTTTGCATGATTGTAATCAGCAATAAGTCCTCTACCAAAATTGTGAAATTCATGGCCCTGGGGTCAGGGGTTCTAGTGCTAGGGTGGGGCTAAATAAGTAGGTAGTGAAAATGCATTATTTCTTTGAAAATCTTCTTCTCTGCTCCTGGGTATTAAATAAACCAACTAAGTACATAGTCATGATGAGCAAGAGTGCCTCTACCAAAATTGTGAATTTTATGGCCCCAGGGTCAGGGGTTCTGGTGTTAGGGTGGGGCTCTATTGATTATATAGTGAAAATACATGAATTCTTTGAAAATCTTCTTCTCTGCTCCTGGGTATTAAATAAACTAACTAAGTACATAGTTATGATAAGCAAGAGTGCCTCTACCAAAATTGTGAATTTTATGGCCCCAGGGTCAGGGGTTCTTGTTTTAGGGTGGGGCTCTAAATAAATGATTATATAGTGAAATGCATGAATTCTTTGAACATCTTATCCTTTGCTCCTGGTTAATATGCCAATGATCTAATTACATATTTAAGGCCAGGAATTATTTAATTTTCAGTTTTACAAACCCTCCGCTCAAGGTTTTGAATTTTCAGAAAAAAATAAAAATTTCTTTCCGATGTCAAATTTGAGTCGGGATCGAGATTTCAAATTTACGAACTCGCACTTCCGGTTTTACAAACGGCTGGTATGAGAAGATTGGTCTAGTATAAAATTCATCGATAAGAGTGCCATTCAAAACGTTTCACCCGTTCAAAGGACTAATAAAATGCTGACGACTTTGTTGCACAATGACATGCTGGTGAGATAATTCTGTATTCGTTTCAAAAGTAACTGTAAATTATTTTCCTCCCCCAGGTTTTAAACTGCCCGTGGTAACTATTGCATATTGCCAGGGTCATTGTTTAGGTATCTATTATAGCTTACAGTCTAAGCATTATTCTTCAGAAAAGAGTTGCTTATGCATCAGATGTAATGAATAAAACTATGGGAGAAATGAAGTCCATTTGAGGAAGAAATAAACAATAAACTGAAGAAATAAAAAAAATTCAACTATTAAAAGGCAAGAATATACAAATATATACAGGCATGTAGTATCATTTGTATCAACCAGAAAAATTACTTTACACTAAAATTGAAAAAATGTTGACCCTACTCCCCTGTCTGTTTCATGATAGGAATTATAATTTTAGGCATCAAGTAAATTTTAGAACAATGTTTACACATTCACCTAACACATATTAAAAAATGAAGATATATTGAAAGACTTTTAAAGAATAGATTTTTTAAAATACATTTTGATCAACATCACAAAATTTATATGAATGGCCCAAACTGGCAGATGATGAAAAAAGCAATGAAATGTTCTACTTTCCTATTTGTAAGCATTATGTGTCCAGTGGTAGGGAGCCTATTAGGATAGCATAAAACAGAATGTACAAATGTTAATAATTGATTTATCAAAAAAAAATTTTTTTATTTCCTTCTCCTTCGGGACTTTTTTATTCTCATGTTCATAACTAAACCTAAACATAAAAAAAAATGCTGGCCTTATAATGAAGAAAGGGGCCTCTTTCAAAATAGATAATTTCAGGGCTGCTGGGTGAAGGGTACCAGGGGGGTACTTTGACTAAAAATAAATGCTTTGAAATCTGCCCTTTGATAAGCAATGGTGCCTCTTTCAAAATTTGTGAATTTCATGGCTTTTGGATTAAAACACGAACCAAATACAATTGCTGGAAAGTTGTTACATGATACTCAGGTGACCTATAAGGCCCGTGGGCCTCTTGTTTATTACGAGATGGAATTAAATCTAGTTCGGCATACACTATGTCATGATCTGAAATTCCTGGGATGACCTCTATCCTTCTGAAACAGTTTGGGTAGTTTGTGACAATGAGATCAAGTGTGTTTGGGCCCCGTGTGGGTTCTTTCACCAGTTGTTGTAAACCACAGTCATCAAGTATATCTGTGAATGCATGATGGATATTTGCATATGGTGTTTTGTCTAAGTCTATTCTGTTTCAAATCCATACTTGGGAGGTTGAAATCACCTGCTGCTTTGATAAGCGCATTGTTTATTTTAGACGCACGAGTTATGCTTTGTACGAACTGATTAATAGCCTTTTCATTGGATGTTTTGGGGTTATAAAAACTAGCTAGGTATAGTGCTTTATGACCGTATATCTCAAGTTTGCATCATGTTATTTCACAGTCTGTTATAAGTTCTGGTACTGAAGTGACACTGAATGTGTCTCTTACTGCCACAAGTACACCTCCTCCGTTTAGATTTCGGTCTTTTCTAAATATGTTAAAACCAGCTGGAAATATTTGAGTGTCTTTGCTTGAACTATCTATCCATGTTTCTGTACGGAAAATAATGTCGGGCTTCGTGCTGTCAATTAAATTTTCGATTTTATGTTGCTTAGTTTTTATTGATTGAAAGTTCACATTCAGGATCCGGATGTTTTGTTTCGATTTCCGCTGCACTTGTTTGGATCTGATAGGTGTAGAAGAATGAATGAGTTGTGATGACATGGCTGGTTGTGAGCACAGTCCATCTGATTGTACACTAAAGATGTTTGATATGTCTATTGTTGTGATGGAAAAACAGTACGTTGAGTAGTTAGGGCAGTTGCAAACTAGGCAATCCCAGGCTAGACCTGAGTGTTCTATATGCTCTAAATACACTCTAGATGACACTGACTGACAATTAACATGGTACCATTGATTACAATTGTCACATATAATACCCCTTTCAACCCATGTCACTGGCCTGTCGCATGTTCCACATGGGTAAATTGTTTCATTTGATGTTGCAGGATTAAGATGTACATCATTTGCTATGATTAAAAAGAGTGTTGCTAGATAAAACAATATGCCTTTGACACATTTGCTCAGAGATATTACATTTCTAAACGCATAGTTCCTCTTGTCGTTAATAGCATAAATAACACTATCTTTCTGTAGATTTGAAGTTAAATGCCTTAATTTTTCATGATTCTCGGTTGTGTCAGTATTGCTTTCACCATGGAATATGTTACATACCAATACAAATGACATCGCAATGTAAACAAGTGACGCCATTTCGAATTTCCTCTGATCGATGTCGTCAGATCATTATGTTAAGGGAGTTTATATTACAAAATCGTACTTATCTGGTGATGGACTGATGTTGCTCCACACTTACCCTCTGTACAGTGTTTATTTTGAATGAGAAATATGATAGATTATAAATGAAAACTTATAAGAATCTAGAGAAGAAATATTTCCGCCATCCATCGATGCGCGCGCACACACCCATGCATTGATACACCCGAGGAAAAATCTCTGTACTCTTTAATTAGTTTGGCATTTGATCATTGACTTTGTCACCCTTTTCAATGGGTTTAAAGTGGTTAACTCCATTCATAGCTAGGTTTAGATAGGGGTGCTGCAGCAGGAATAGTAGATACATCAAATAAAGATACATCAGACAGACTGGATGTTTCACTTGTAGAAAATAAAGGCAGAGTATGCAAGGGAGTAGATGTGTCTATACTTGAGGGTGGTGTAAGTGGAAAGAAAATTGGTAAAGAATGATGTGGCACTGGCAAAGGTAAAGGTGTTCGCTGGATGTCTTCTCTTACACAGATGCACGAAGGTAAAGGCCAGAACAATGCATATGGCACAGGAAACAGTACCTGAAAAGATATGTAAAAACAAAAATATAGTTTGTTTTGTTGTCAGGGTTCAAGATATGTCTCTGTAGTTAGTGACAGAAATGCAAAAGATGCATTCTACAATCCACTTCCTTAATGCAAAATTCATAAGGCTCAGTTTGAACATGATTCTAAAATTTAAACCAGCTAATGCTATCGCTTTTTGGCTTATATCAAAGCGATGTTTTTTTCATATGTTTTAACATATAGTCAACAATGGGTATAAAAGTAATTAAAGACAATGAATTTTGATGATGTGTATCAACATTTGCATAAAAAAATTACCTATAACTAGTAAAGTAGTATTAGGGCTCTCAGGGGTACTTAAGCTATTCAACTATATGGTGGATGGGGTGGTGAGGGGGCTCGAAGGATCCTCAGTGGTTGTAGTTTAGGTGGTGGTGGCACCACTATTCTCTCTGGTTGAGGAGTAGCCGCTACCTGTTGTGCCACCACCACCCTCCGAGGTTGCGGGAGCGATAGTCTCCTCCTCCTCTCTCTTTCTGGTGGTGGTGGTACCTGTTGAGGGGAGGGAGGTGCCCTCAAAATTCTGTATGGTTGTTGTGTCTGTATCTGTTTCTGTTAAAAAAAAAGTGAAATTAAAGTTTTATCTGTTAATATGTAAAAAGTGATCTTTCATATATGGTATAAGTATGCATATATATGTAATGGGAAAATCCCCAGCAGAAATAATTCAAATGATATGGATTTTATGGAGCCAAGCCCATCTGACTAATAACAATGTAATTATAAATCAGTGATGATAGGATTATGTCTCTATCTTTGTCTGGGAATTTTGGTCAGAAAAAAGGAATATATTTACAAAAATTCTCCAGAGAACTGTCTACATGAGTATAAGATTCAAATTCTTGGTAATATTTGCTCTGGGCAATATAAAACTTCTTGACCAAATGAATTCAAGTGCATGACCAATGTCTGAAATGTCTATGTAAAAATATGTAGAAAAAAATGTGTAGGTGGATCTAAAAGTAGTGTTTGTAATAACTTAAAACCTTCTCATTGATAAAAAGATTTTTTAGATTTATTTTATTTACCTATCTATTTGATTTATTAAAGCCATTTATGGCGTATGTACAATGAAAATTATTAGAGAGACAGAGTCTTCTGGTTTAAGTTGTTGATTTATAGTTTTTGTCAAATGGAGAAATTTCTTGGACTTCTTGGATAAGATTTAAAAATGGAGAGTATGGGCGGGGATGTGCGAGATGAAAGATGTAGTATACGGCAAAAAGGGCGATAACAGAATCCAAAAAGGTCTTGACCTGTGTAAAAATTTCAGTTTCATCCCAAACGATTGAAATTTTTCCTAGTTATCCTCTATCCAAAAACACCAATAGTCTTGGTAACTCCAACTCTTTTCTCTGGGATATTATCTCTTTTTCCGTATCAGAAAGATCCAAAAGAAAAAAAATAGAGTTTCAATACTCGCTATGCTGTAAGCTTTAAGATATATTTGGTCCAGAAAATGAAATCGGGCTCGTTATTTGTTAATTTCCCGCCAGGAAGTCATCGTTACAATGGGCAATCCTCGACTGACTCCATTGTGCATGATACAAGCCATCCGAAGAGATCCGAGTATCATCGCAGACATCAATGTTGAAAGCCAGACTAAAGCAAAAATCCCTAGGTTTGTACTTATTTATGCTTTTCAAGATTTTTAATAAAATCAGTTGAATTCTAAAAAAAGAACACTCACTAAAAGTATGACGTAAGCGTTAAAAATTTAATGTGTATTGTATGTTTTAACCTTTTGAAATTTGTGTAGAAGTGTCGGGTTTTGGTTTTTGAACATATGGTTTATTAGCAGTGCATTGCTACGTAAGGAATTCACTACATTCTGTTTTTTATTCGGGGGGGGGGGGGTAACTATTAATTGTGGAAAAAAACCTTGATTATCCGTATTTGGTTTCATTTTGTAGATTGCATAAGATTCGTCCTCTGGTAACTGCAACACGAGAACCATTCAAGAAGTATTACGAGCCTGGAAAATGTCAAAGTATTGATGAAGGAATGGTGAGATACAAGGGGAACCATTACGCCCGTCAGTATACTCCATGCAAGCCAAAAAAAAGAGGACTGAAGGTATAATCATTACTTATAATGTAAAAATAAATATCTGTCAAAAATAGACAAGGAATTTGTGAAACAAGTGGGGTGTGGGCTCCATTTCTGTGAAGTTTTTTTTTTTAGAATCCTCAACACAAACCATTAACTGTTTAACACCAATTCACTTTCTCCTTTGCCCATTGACTCATCATCTTGGGTAGAAAATGACAAGTTTTCAAAAATCATTTTGTGAGCTTAGTGCTCAAATTAAATCTAGTTCATTTTGTGATTGACTTTTTCTTGAAACAAGTCAGATTCTTTTACAGATATGGATGCGTTGTGAGCCCAATGGGTACACACATGATTATATACTATACCTTGGTCGATATGATGAAATGCAAGGTCAAAGCCTAGGAGAGAAAGTAGTGAAACATCTATGCAAGGATATCAAGTGGAAAGGTCATCATGTCTTCTTTGACAGGTGTGTATAAATGTACCTGTTTAATTTTTTCATTTATGTATATTAAAAAATTATGCTTTGTACGTGTAGTGTTTAAGTTCCTAACTATTCTTGCATTATCAGTGTTTGAAATGTTGTTACAATTTACAGATTTTTCACTTCAATCCCCCTGGTCCAATCCCTAGAAACCTATGGGATATATGCCTGTGGAACAATCAAGACCAACAGAAAGGGGTTTCCCATAGAATTGAAAAACCCTAAGTTAGAACGTGGAGATGCACAACAACTGCAACATGGAAACATGGTCCTTACAGTGTGGAACGATAATAAACCAGTAAGATTAGTATCTAGTTTATTGCAATTTTCCTTCAGTGTTCCAAAGTGTCTTCCAGACTTAACTTTGTATGAAAAATTTACTATTGTAGGTGCATGTATTGTCCACCACATTAAATCCGCTGGGAGATGAGCCTGGGTTTTTGGAGAGTGACAACCAACAGTAGGTCACAGTGACCTACTTTTTACTTTTTATGGCTTTATTTAAGTATCTTAGGTATTTTTTGGCTTAGAATCAACAAACTTTGTGAGATGATGCATCTTGGGTTTTCGGAGAGTAACGAACAAAAAGTAGGTCATGGTGACCTACTTTTGACATTTTATGGCTTTATTGAAATATCTACGGTAATAATTGGCTTAGAATCATCAAACTTTATGAGTTGATGTGTCTTGGGTTTTCGGAGAGTGACAACTAAAAAGTAGGTCACAGTGACCTACTTTTTACATTTTATAGCTTTATTTGAGTATATAAGGTATTCATTGGCTTAGAATCATCAAACGTTGTGAGATGGTGCGTCTTAGGTTTTCGGAGAGTGACGACCAAAAAGTAGGTCACAGTGACCTACTTTTAACATTTTATGGATTTTACTATGCGATAGTAATGCGTCCGGCGTCCGTCTGTCTGTAAACAATTTTTCAAAAGGCTACTCCTCCTACAATTTTAGTCAGATTTCAATATAACTTGGCACACAAGTAGACTACACTTAGATACATAGAATAGTGCATCAGTTCTTAATTTCGATGAACGGTGTTGCCATGGTTACTAAAAATAGAATTTTCTGTGAAATTCCTTTAAAACGCTACTGCTTCTACAGTTTTGGTCTGATTTCAATATAACTTGGCACACAAGTAGACTACACTAAGATACATAGAATAGTGCATCGGTTTTTGATTTCGATGAACGGTGTTGCCATGGTTACTAAAAATAGAATTTTCTGTGAAATTCATTAAAAACGTTACTCCTACAGTTTTTGTCTGATTTCAATATAACTTGGCACACAAGTAGGCTACACTAAGATACATAGAATAGTGCATCGGTTTTTAATTTCGTTGAACGATGTTGCCATGGTTACTATAAATAGAATTTTCCCTGAAATTCCTTACAAAACGCTACTCCTTCTACAGTTTTGCTCTGATTTCAATATAACTTGGCACACAGGTAGACTACACTAAGATACATAGAATAGTGCATCGGTTTTTAATTTCGTTGAATGATGTTGCCATGGTAATAATATTATATTCTGTGAAATTCATTAAAAACGTTACTCCTTCTAAAGTTTTTGTCTGATTTCAATATAACTTGGCACACAAGTAGGCTACACTAAGATACATAGAATAGTGCATCGGTTTTTAATTTCAATGAACAGTGTTACCATGGTTACTAAAAATAGAAATTGTGAAATTCATTAAAAACGTTACTCCTTCTAAAGTTTTTGTCTAATTTCAATATAACTTGGCACACAAGTAGACTACACTAAGATACATAGAATAGTGCATCGGTTTTTAATTTCGATGAACGATGTTGCCATGGTTACTAAAATTCTGTGAAATTCTTTAAAAACGCAACTCCTTCTACAGTACTGTTTTGGTCTGATTTCAGTATAACTTGGCACACAAGTAGACTACCCTAAGATACATAGAATAATGCATCGGTTTCTGATTTCAATGAACAGTGTTACCATGGTTACTAAAAATAGAATTTTCTGTGAAATTCCTTAAAAACGCTACTCCTTCTACACTTCTAGTTTGATTTCAAAATAAGTTTGCACACAAGTAGACTACGCAAAGATACATAAAATAGTGCAATGGTTTTTTATAAGTACATACCAGTAGAGCTTCAGTCTCGACAGAGACTTCTGGTTAAGTATCTACAGTACTTATTGG